TATACTATGTGGTTATGTATGGTGCAGTATAGTGATATACTATGTGGTTATGTATGGTGCAGTACAGTGATATACTAATGTGGTTGATGTATGATGCAGTACAGTGATATACTATGTGGTTATGTATAGTGCAGTACAGTGATATACTATGTGGTTATGTATGGTGCAGTACAGTGATATACTATGTGGTTATGTATGGTGCATTACAGTGATATACTATGTGGTTATGTATGGTAGTACAGTGATATACTATGTGGTTATGTATGGTGCAGTATAGTGATATACTATGTGGTTATTCATGATCCAGTACAGTGATATACTATGTGGTTATGTATGGTGCAGTACAGTGATATACTATGTGGTTATGTATGGTGCATTACAGTGATATACTATGTGGTTATGTATGGTGAATTACAGTGATATACTATGTGGTTATGTATGGTGCAGTACAGTGATATACTATGTGGTTATCCATGATGCAGTACAGTGATATACTATGTGGTTATGTATGGTGCATTACAGTGATATACTATGTGGTTATGTATGGTGCAGTACAGTGATATACTATGTGGTTATGTATGGTGCAGTACAGTGATATACTATGTGGTTATGTATGGTGCAGTACAGTGATATACTATGTGGTTATGTATGGTGCAGTACAGTGATATACTATATGGTTATGTATGGTGCAGTGATACTTCCTCGCATAGTCTTTGAAGCTTTTGTGAGACAGGGATTATGGTGGTTGATCCGTTAAACAACTGCACATTGTCAACTGAATTTACTGCCATACCACTTCAATTGATCTGAAATTCTATTTGGTCTGCATACTGGACTGCTAGGTATACAACACCGATGACTGCTATTTTAATGCCAATATAGCTGGTTAACACATGAGGGTAGTGCTACTGAATTGTTGGCTGTATACACTTTTATGGTTACACTATTTATTAGACTTACGTCTTAAAATTTTCTGGTGTATTGTTTCCCAAAACTGTTTTCTGTATACGACATTGACACGGGTTCTTGTTTAATTTTCTGCTGTTGCTATGCAAACGAAAACGCTGACTCAGATCCAATAGCATGTGACTCAGAAACTGACTTTCAATACATTCAGCTAATTTCGTAGCATTTGCAATGTAAGTGTGTCATCGTTCTCTAACACGTCGTGAGTTAGTTTTGATTGATAAGAGGATCAGTCAGTAAGCCAAAATTATTAGAAGCCCAGAATAATGTTTTTTTTTTGCTTTTAAATGTACTCAACGTTTCTGCATCTCCAAAAATCGGAAGATTCGTTGTTCTTCCAAGTCTAACAGACAGCACGGCAATTTTGGCACGACATGACAATGGTCAAATATACAAGCAACTTTGCCAACTTTTCAATCCAACTTTGCGCGCTGTTTTCTAACATTTTAAAGTCAGCTCATGTGA